ATGCAAATTCCTTCTGGCTTCTATTTGGTTTTGCAAAGACATGTTCATACTTTGAGCCCATCTGTAGTTTTAAGATGGTAAAAATGGCCTTGCATTTTCTGTAATCCAGATTTAGGAATAAACATTTATCCAAGGATGCATGTTTCCTTTTTAACATAATTATATTTAGAAAATAAGTGATTCTTTGGGAGTAGTGCGTAATTTCTTCGAGACTCATGAAAATTACCTATCTTTTTATCTCTAGTCACACAGGTACAGAGTTATGGATTCCCTTAGATATGGTGTGCATTCACACTTATGTCTTTACTGCAATTCTACAGTGTTTATTTCAGGATGATTTTTTTGAAGAAAGGAAATTTTTGATCCATCACCCTGTTTAAACTGATCCAAGATGTCTTCACTTTCTACATTTTTCTTGCGGAAAACTCCTCCCACACATAACTGCACTCCTTTTATTATCTAATATACCTACTGTAGCTGCTCTCAGTGCTGTGATCCTTGCTGGGATGTCTCTCTCTCACCCTGCCCTGGTCTGGCAACTCACAGCATATACCTACCTAACCGATTTCCTCTACAAGATCATTGAGCCAACATTTCCACCACCCCCACGTAGAAACACCCTATATTCCACAAGGTGGCTTTTACAGCTCTTGTGAGCTTCTACCTGGACTTTCCTAGGTGGTTCTTTCATCACATAGGTTGCACCATACAGAGCTAAAATTTCATACTGAAATGTGTGCTTTTACAGAAACTGGAAGAAAATTGGTGACCAAAAAATATACGCACTTAGAGAACCAAGAAGATTCAAGAGTTTGAATGAGCATTCAGCACTTAAAGTTCTTATAATTCTGAACACAATGGCTTATACTTAGAAGTTGCAACAGAGCATGAGCAATATTCTGAGAGGTCCAGGGAACATCAAACATGCATGTACAGAATAGAAAGATGATCTGAGAAGGGAACTCATAATGCTTTGATGGGGGAAGAAATTCTGATCTTATACAGTTTTGATAAAAATAATTTTCCAGAGCCTTCTAAAATTGTGTAAGTCACATTCTTTACCTGAGGATGACATGGTAGTGATAACATACCCTATCCTTTTTAGTAACTCACAAGTTTCACACTTTTATACTGTTCTTCAACTTCACATAAAGCGCATGAGGTAATCAGAGCCAAGGTGACACCTCTGAGGCTTCCGTGTCCACTTGTGGGGAATGTAAGGAACTTGTAAACTTTCTGGCAATTTGGAGGATTGTGCCTTGGAGTAGCTCTTGAGGTTCCTGCTTGTCGAAGTAGCAGGTAAATCAAAGCAGAACTGGCAATTTATTTAGTCATCCCACTGTTGTGAGTGCTGCTAGGCCCTTCAAGGAAATCCACCTGTAACATGGTTATTCACAGTGATAATTGTGTTTGTATTTCCCATGTTATGTACCTGATGTAATATCCTGATGAACCTGTGTCTGTGCTCCCTGTCTGACTTTCTGGGAGACTGACCCACCATCTATTGTCAGGCCACCCAGACGAGTAGTAGGCATTTCCATTGATCCCTACACATACCATGGAAACTGCCTAAGCTCCTGATCTATGACTGCAAATATGCAATCAGTAATCCCATGGAGTTGCAGGGGCACTGGATCCAGGAAGGATTATTCTCTCATCATCAGCAGCCTGGAGCCCAAAGATTTTACAATATTTTATTGTCAACAAGGCATCAGTTATCCTCCCACAGTGGTACTAGCCATAATTTAAAACTTGAAGGAAAGTGTCAACATGACACTGGGCTGATGGAGCTCACTGTGCTCCCCCCTGCACCTGCTGAGAATATTTCTCAGGTGGAAGCAGGAGTTGTAGGTCCCTGGGAAGTTTTGCGAGAAGATATCAGGGAGGCTTTTCTGCACTCTACCTTTCTTTGAATGCTTCAATTTCGTCACCATCATAACAGAGACAACAATCCTCTCCGTATGTAACAAACGACCGAGATCCTTAGAAGTGAGGAGTCTGGGTTAAGGCATCATTTTTAATTCATAGAGCAAAACAAAATCCACAGTACACATTCCAAGCACAGATTGTATTGTTAGTGGTAAGTGACATCTTCACCATAGTCATTAAATAAGGGATGTAGTTTATGGTTTTAAATTCTCAGCCGCAGCGTTTTTGCCATTGAAGGTATAGACTGCTAACCCTGTGGATCTCATTTAAGTCTGGAAAGTGCAGAGGTGGGATTCCAGGGCACTTAGCTCTCTATAGCACCTGACTGGTGATTTTCCAGTCCTCACCTGGGTGCAAACATCCATCTGAAGGTGCAGTGTATAATTAATTCGTTACTTCTGAATTCCAAATTTCCCAGGGGCGTCCTTAAATGAGCAGTTGTTCAAGAAAATTGGGAGATGAAAGGGCTCTGAGAGATGTGATTTCAAATGAGCTGGAGATGATAGAAAACAGAAAAGATGCAACCCAGTGTGGTCACTATTGACTGAGCCCTCAGCTGTGTGCTGGAGAGGTGATGAACACGTAATACACATGGATGTGCATTCAAATAGCAGCAAGTGTGGGATCTCAGAAACTCTTCAGTAAGTCACACAGTAAACAAAAAGGTTTAAAAAGCACACGAGTCTTTCAACACACAATAAATAAGCGTGTTGAAAGAAATAAATATTAAATTTATATTTTGCCTTAATGTGCAGATGTTTTACTGCTCAAATTTTGTCCAGAAGGTACTGGTATCTTCATTTATTTATTTATTTATTGGTACTGGGGATTGAACTTGGGTCTGTGAGCTTGTGAGGCAGGCAGTGGAACCACTGAGCTAAATCCCTGGCCCCACCACTGCTATCTTTAATGTGGCATGTCATCGTCAGAAAGGTGAAATAACTGTCTCTGTTTGACATCAGTTGATGAGGATTTCCATACTACAAAGAATGCAGGTTTTTTTGTATAATGTTAGGGAGTTCTTTGTAAAACTAAAATTACTGAAGTCAAGGTGATTATATTATTAATAATTTAACTTTTTTTCATGTTTTTTGTTATATTATACACAGAAAACCTATTCTCACACAGAACTGTGTCACATTTCCTGACTTCCAGAATATTACCATGTTCCACATTCCATGGACCCATTCCACAGTCACTCTGATATCAACTTTCCATTGTCATGCCTTCTAAGGTTGTGATTCTCCCATTCACTATTATGTGAACCCTTGAATTTGCATTGGGCTGATCAGGTTAAGTTCTTCCACTCTCAAATTTCCTAGACTAGCAACACTGACTACTCCCTCCATTCTGATAAAAGTTGTGTTTTTCATTTACAGGAACGTATTCAGGCTCCTATGTATCATCCTGTCAAAATATCTATTGTCAATTGAAGACTTAAATATCAGACCTGATACATTACATCTAACACAAGAAAACATAGAAGAAACTAAAACAGGCCATGATTTTCAGAAGTGGACCCAAACAATTCAGGAGACAAAAGAAAGACTAGACAAAAGTTATTACAACAAATTATGTGGTTGCTCCACAGCAGCAGGAAATGATGAGCAGAGTGAAGACATAATCTACAGAAAAACTGTGCCAGCTATTTGTCTGCAAATTAATATCCTGAATAAAGGGGAAAGCAAGAAATTGAGCAAAAGCACAAGTAATCTATTAAAAAAATGGCAAATGATCTCATGGGAAGAAATGTAAATGATTAGTACAATATATGAAAAATGTTCATGTTTTGTCACCAGAAAAATGCAAATTGAAAATATATTGATATTTCACATCAAATCAGTAAGAATGCTATTATCAAAAGCAAAATAAAAGTGCCTTTGATGACATCAAGTAGTAGGAATCTTTATGGGATGTTACGTGGATGTAAATTAGTAAATCTGTTATGGAAGATAGTATGCAGGATCCTCGACAAACTAATAATAGAACCACTGTAAGATCCAGCTGTACCACTTCTGAGTGTAAACCCAGAGGAAAGGAAGACAGCACACAAGAACATTCCTACATTCTCATATTTTTTGTGGTAATATTCATCCCACTCACTGCTAAAGAGTCAGAGAGTACATGGCAGAGGGAAGCACCCAGGACCAGCCCATCATGGAAGGTGTGCTATGCTGGCCTCTCCCCAGGGCCTCCATCTTCACCTGCTCTCTAGAAAGCTGCAGTTTCCAGAAGGGCTGCACCTGAGTCCCCTGGGACATGCTGGCAGGGGTTGTACCTCAGGGAAGAGTCCCAGCAGGCATACCCTTGGGAGGCTTTGTGGAAAGGATGGAGTTTAAGTGCCTGGCCTAATGCGTAGGTCATGCTTAACCTAATGGGGTTCCTATAACTGGAGGGGGAAAGAGAAGTTTTGGAGTGCTTACCAGGTCTGACACCACTGCTCAGCCTTGCATGATGATTAACTTTGGGAAATATTAACAGTTGGAGGAAAGCAGAGGGAACATGGTGGAGGGAGCCTGAAGCAAATAATAAAGTGAATCCTTTAGTCCTTTAGTATAGCAGTGAGCTGTAGTATTGAATAATGTAGGATCTCTGAGGGAAATGCACACCAAAGGAACACCTCATTGTCCTATTCACATGCTGTAGAATAGTTCACAATAAACAAAGAATAACAATGGCCTAAGCCCATCACAAATGATTTTGCATAAATCTAATAGCCTGAGAAGGGCTCTATTTATTTAAAAAAATAACTTTGTTGCCACAGAAATGTCTTAAGTAGAGCATGAAATATGATTCAGTTTCTAACAGAAACATTTGCTATCAAATTGAAGCCAGAGTGGCCATAATTTATTATCTATTGTTTCTAAACAAAGGTATTGTGCATAGTCTTTTTATATCCATACAATTATCTACCTATGTAAGCCTAGTTCCAAGTTGAATGCTGACAATTTTCCAACATGTTCCGAGTAATGAAGTTTCCCTCAGAAGTAACACATTTTGAGTTAGTAAATTCTGGGCTCTCCTGGTCTGACCTGGGCCACCTGGGGATCCGGGCTGAGTTTCTGAGATGAGACAGCTCTGCAGATGGGCCTCACCCTGCCCAGCTCCTGCTGATTTGCATGTCCCCAGAGCACAGACTTTAATAGGCTGCTCACAGGCTGTGCAGGAGTCGGTCCCAGTCAGGACACAGCATGGACATGAGGGTCCCCGCTCAGCTCCTGGGGCTCCTGCTGCTCTGGCTCCCAGGTAAAGTAGGACAGCGCTGTGTTGCACATTGGTAGTCTATGCTGACTCTTCAGGGAAACCTTGTGACCTGACTAATCTAACAGATTTCTGTTTTTATGTTTCCCATGTCAGGTTCCCGATGTGACATCCAGATGACCCAGTCTCCATCCTCGCATTCTGCATCCATAGGAGACACAGTCAGCATCAGGTGCAAGGCCAGTCAGAGCGTAGGTAGTGCTTTAGCCTGGTATCAGCAGAAACCAGGGAAAGCTCCTAAACAACTGATCTATGGTGCAAGAAATTTAGGATCTGAGGTCCCACCGAGGTTCAGTGGCAGTGGATCTGGGACAGATTTCACTCTCACCATCAGCAGTGTGGAACCTGAAGATGTTGGAACTTATTACTGTCAGCAGTATAATAGTTACCCTCCCACAGTGATACAAACCATGACATAAACCACCCAGGGAAGCAGAAGTGTGAGCCTTGGTGCCCCAGCTGCTCCTTCTGATGCCTTCAGCTGCTGAGTGTGTTTCTGAGATGCGGCCATTCTTTGAAGGACACTGAGTACCGTAACATTTTCTTCATGGTCTGGCCCAATTCCACAGATGTGATATTATCCTCCTGACTGATTAAATGGCTTAAATGAATAAAACTAAATCACTTGGGTTTCCGCAATGTTGGGCTTCTTCCATCAAAAGACAAGTTACTGGGGAATTTCCACGTGTAGTTTGGTTTCCATAGATTGAACTGGTATCATTAAGGCTGTGGCAGTCATAAAATTTTATTTCGCAAACAGGAAGCACTGTGGTCTTTCCCCCAGGAGATTGAGTGCAGCTGTTACTGAGAGAACTGCCCCCATATCGCTGTCATCCTTAGACATGACTTCAAATCCTAGTTTTGGGCTCTACTGCCCACAGCTGCTGGGAACACTTAATGAGATGATTCTCTTGTCACCTCCTCTCTTCATGGATCTAGTATGGTGCTGACTACTGAATCTTCCTTTCCTGATTTCTGCAATCAGGGGAGGACACCTCACTCAGCAGCACTGGATCATTAGAGTTCTATTAGGAATTACAGTGTTACCTTCATGCAAGGGTGCTTCTGTCTGCAAACAAAAGTGCTTGGCAAAGTTTTGCTTCTTTTGCAACTTCCCCGTCAGTTGACAGACATGTCCATGGCCAATTCCCCCAAACAAACACAAAAGCAGACATTTTTTTCCAAACATTAAAAGAAACTAAGTTCATAACCTGAAGCGTCATTGTTTACAGGAAACCATCTAAGGAGAAGGGATCCAGAGAAGCCTCACACCTAAAAGTGAGGTTGTAATTATGATAGGGAAAACTTCTATGAATAGAAAAACACTTATAAAATGTTACAATGTAAAGTGGCTTCTGGTGTCTCTAACAGCAGTTTATTTTGTTTAGCTTAGAAGTAACAGGCACTGAAGGTGCTAATTGTTGAATGAAGTATTTGGTCTTGCCCTGAGATAACAGGGCACATCAAGACCTTGAGCCCCGAATAGACTGGAGCCACATAATTGTAAAAGTGTGAAGATAGAAAGGACCATTACTAACATTTGCTCCCCTGATTCTGAACACCCCCGTTCCTATGGACTAAGATAGATAACTGGGCAATTCCTAAAGGTAAACTCCCCAATTGCAAAGAACTGTTACATCTGTGTTTAAAGGTAACTATCCTATGACCATGATTTGAACTGTGAGAATGAAATGTAACCACCCAAATGAAGTCATGGCTGTAAAATCCTATAAAAGGAGGAGTTGTAACCCAGTGTGTCTTCTAGCCAGGCACTGCTTATGTGCAGTCGACCCTATTTCAATGGTAGGCTTTTGTTATAAAAGGAGGAGTTGTAACCCAGTGTGTCTTCTAGCCAGGCACTGCTTATGTGCAGTCGACCCTATTTCAATGGAGTAGGCTTTTGTTATTTTGCTTCCATTTTGCTACCTCTGTGTGTCACTTGCCACTTCCTTCCATAACAATGAAACAGTGACCCAGTATGGTCACTATACTTAAATTCTCAGATTTTTCCCAGATATAGGATGGAGTCCAATATAGGGCATGGGCTTTCAAGTATTATTAGCAAGTCTGGTGTTACAGCTAAAGACTTCAAGAAAACATGTTATAAACATAAAATGAGAAGTTACCGAAATTATTTAACACTACTTTTTAACAAACCAATTGATACACTTACTCAAGATTCCTAAGTACAGATGACATCTTCCCTTTTCTTAAGTCAAATGCCTGTTTTTTCCAAATCTTTCCAGGATCCAACAGTGTCATTTATACTGCAGGTTAATTAGCAAGAATTCAGGCTGTGATTTACACCTACTGATGAGGACCTGCATTAAAACAGGCTCTGTTCATGGTCAGGAAGCTCTGTTTAAGGACAATTTACTCCATATATGGTAAACATAATTTTAGACAGTAAAGAAGTTCTCTTGTGTTCTGACCTAAAATAGGTGCAAAAATTAAATTTTAATAAATACTGTTTCAAAAATTTCAACATGCTTCATTAACTTAACAAAGAAAGACCAAACTGAAATGATTACAATTTTCATACCTTGGATAATTGAATCCCCACCTTCAGTCCTCCTCATGTACACCATGGTGTACATGGAAAATGTTAAAATGGGAGGCAGAGGTAGGTGCTATTTGAGAAAGGGACACAGAATCCTATGTTCAGGGAGTGAAATCTCATAACTCTTCTCTGTGGAGACAGCCCCTGATGCAGGGCCGGCCACCTTTGACTGTATCCTTCTTTCTGTTAATGGTGTCTCAGTAACCAGTAACTTCTTGTCACTGTGATATGGTACCAGAAACCTACATGACTCAAAGAGAAGATGTTTACTCAGGAGTTTCATGTTATAGGAGTTTCAGCCCATAGTTGGCTGGTTCCAAGGTAGAAATGGCATGGGGGTGTGGCTCAGTAGAGGACAGCTGCACAAATCATTGTGCTCAGGAAGGAGGAGAGAGAGTCCTAGGTGATGGATCGCATGACCCCCTCTTCATACCTGGCCCCACCTCCTAACAGGAGACTCTGCTGCATTCCTAATAGCACCACCATGAGCCATCCACTTGCAAACATGTGAAACTCTGGAGACAATTTTCAATGATGACATAGCAGGTTCTGTGAGGAAGTGGCCTGATTTGAGATCATAGTTGGAGGAGAAAGAGAGGGAGCAACATATTTAGGGTATGTATACACAAGAATAGTACTTTAATGGCTGAGTTTAAACAGAAATGATTAACACATCCTCAAGGATTATTTCATGGGGGCTGCAAATGTGTGAAAAAGGCCTTTGCAGGTGTTAAATAAGAGTGTCTATTTGTGTCAAAGATTGTACTGTGTGTACTAGTTGTCCCCTAATGCAATTTCAGAGTCCTCAGAAGAGAAAGAAAGAGATTTAACAGACAGTTGAACTGCAAGGTCTTTCCTGCATTATCACCTATCTCAGTTCATGAGTGCATGAGTGCAGCTCACATTTTGAGGCTTGGGAGTGCCTGTAGATTTGATTTGGAAAAAATGATTGAGAAATGGAGCGTAGGGCCAGACTTTTTATGAATCAGCGGATCAGAGAAAACCAAGAACCCTGCATGATGCCCCGCTTCCCCATGCACCGTGCACAGCAGTAAAAGCACACAAATGATCTCTTCCTGAGGAGAAGGTTGGCTGTGCAGGGGTGATAGGAAGAGCGGAGTCTGCATTACCACCGCAGTCTCCTCTGGATCCTGAAGTACTAACAGAGAAGAGTGATATTAAGAATGAACATGAAGGCATTTCTCATGATTTTCCTGATTTTAAATTAATGAATTAGTTCAGCTGATGACATTTGGTGTTTGTCAGTTTATCTATATTTCCATTTAGAAAAGAAGAGAATTTGTAAGTGATACAGAAAATTTATATCACCCTCTCCTTTTTAGTCAAAAGATCCAGTTGGAATCTCCCTCTCTGTCATTTATTGGATGAGTTTTTATTTCTATTTTTCTAGTACATATGTAATGCTAAGGCTGTTGTAAAGGGCACAGGTGTGAAGGGCTTTTTGCTGCTATGTAGCTGAGTCACCTGTGGGACACAGACTCCCAGGTGCTTTTCCTGAATTCTCTATAATTTTCTTCTTACACAGATGCAGAAAACCTGCTGTGCTGCTTCCCAGACAAGCAACACATGGGTGCAGCTGGACCATCCGAAGCAGGAGGTTTTTGCACCACTGCAGGAGGAGCACACATAGATTAGTGGAGTAATGAACCAACGGAGTTTTCTATCATCAACATTATGCAGAGGAATTAGTCAAGTGTTTCTAGCATCTGCTGTTACCAAAGCAACAATCAGGATGCTAGGAACAGGGTTAGAAATAATCTCCCAAACTCAGTGATCAGTCTCTATAGCAGAACTCAATTCTAACACGGGGAGGTGAAACAAATTGTCATTTTCATCTAGAGAATGCTCTACATAGCAAACACAAACTTCTTGCTAACTACTTTTTAAACTGATCCACTGGTATGCTTACCTCTTTCTCTACACATGAGATTAATCAAACATTTCTTAAGGCAAGAACTCCTTTGATGTCATTGCTAAGAGTAAACAAGGTGTAATTTTACATTCACATTTTCCTAATCAATATAGAAAAATCCTTCCCAAGTGTCCTCTTTCTTGCCATCAGTATTGCCATCAGTATTGGGCCACCACCTTCATGTGTCACAAACCATGTGTCCATGCCTTAGAGGATCAAGAATGAGCCGTGTCTTGTAAAGTCTCAGTGTAACTTGAACCTCGGACTGACATCCTCCTGGCTCCTTCAGCGATGGTCTTCACAGATGGTCTCCATGCAAAGTTGTGTGGCTTCAGAGCTGCTGAAGAACTTTCATTAAAGTCTTCTTGCCTCCCAAGCTTTGACAAGATAAACGTGTGTTGTTTTCAGTCAACACGTTTACAGTATTTTTATGATAGCCCAAGGAATCTAATTCACCCACTCTCTATGCGGCCCCTTGCACATTGTGGTTTGTGGGAAAATAAGCAACTGTTGTTTTTTGAAAAATCAGAAATAAAAGGTTGTGGCTGTTTTTACCTTCTGCTTTTATATGTGCTTTAAACACTGAGAATGGTAGTAACAAGTGGTAGAGATGGTCTTCTCCTGGACCTCGTGAGTAGACTACACGATTGGATTCAAGTCAAGCGAACTTGGCAGGTGCAAAAGTCTGCTTCATCCAGAGAGAAGCAGAAACGTTTACATGTCTGCTGACCCTCGCTCCTTCTCCCTCTCCCCTCCCCCTCTTCTCTCCACCTCTAACCCCCATCTTCTTAGTTGTTGTTATTTTTGTTTTTTGAGACAGGGTCTCACTATGTCGTTGAGACTGTCCTGGAACTCACTGTGCAGCACAGGCTGGTGACGAACTCGCAGAGGTCCTCCTGCCTCAGCCTCCCGAGTGTTGGGATTAC